CACGTCCCATCTGCCAGCACGGCTCGTGTTTTCAGGAATTCTCCGGCATCCCACCGGTTCACCAAAGCCAAGCAGATGATGGCTGCCGGTGAGGCTAAGCTTTGCATATGTGTATGTATTCATCTGTGCAAAGGTCTGCTCCAAAGAGTAACATGTAGCCAGAGTTTCTCCTGTGTAGTGTCACTTGAAGGGTGTTTTCACACCCCTGACTGAAACCATCTTGCATCTGCCAAAACACGATAGGGACTTTTTATAGCTGTATCATAAGGCCTTTGAAAAATCAGTTTGTTAGAGCCTTTTTAGAAGAATAACAGATTGGCTATGCATGTGTATTGGATAGCTGCATATGGTAGGCATGTCAGACAGTGAAAGGCCATAAAGTATTGCCATAAAATAAAATAGTACTTCCTAATAATATTTTTCTGACATTTCTGGCAGTAAACGTTTGAAACTTTCATGGAGTATTTCACTTGTGAATCTCAAAACACATATATTATTGTGTATTTAGGGCTTAATTCAATTCCCAGTAAAGACGAGGACAAAATTTCCACTTTCTTTATTGCACTTGTTCCAGCCCTCAAAGCGAATGTTGTCTGTTAAAAGTAGAATAGATACTAATTTAGTCCCATAAAGCCACAGATTGTTTCAACTTTCCACGAATTTCTGAATGAATAGATGATTGGATCCCATGATGCTGCTCTCAGACTCGCTGGTGATATGAAAGAGGCGCTTGTCCAGCCGGCTGTATAGCTGTGCCGCTCTTTTGTTGCCCATAGTACACATGCTCAGCTCCTTTTTACTCTCTTTTTATTTTAATGCTCTGCAACAGGGCTGCACAAAGCCGAATTGGCTTTTAAAACACAACTTCATTTTGCAGCTATACGTCTGTGCCCGGTTTTCTTTTGTGCTGCCTGTGGAACAAGGAGGCTGTGTGGTATCTGACACTGGGCTTTTTCCAGTGATTTATTAACTGTGTCAGAATAGCTGTTGTGAATGCTGGGAAGCTCTTGCATATTGTGACAGTTGATATTGATTATGACAGTTTGTAGACTCTAGTGCGTTGTCAGACAGTGGATCGTATTTTGTCTTCTTACTATACATACCATGGGCTATAGATCATAGTGTTTTCTTAAGAAAAGGACCCATTGTCCAGCGTTCTTGCTGGTATGAAAGAACTTCTGTAACGTATTGTGCAACAAATAGCAAAATAGTTCAGGCACCCTATGGGACAGGCAGGCAAATGTCAATTGCTTTAGGAAAAAAAAAGTGAATAGTTTGTTCTACTTCTGGCCTTTCAAGGGAATGAACCATCCAGTTGACAAAAGTGGGTAAACTAGTCAGAGGATGTAATTTGTGAAAATACGGTGTATCCTGTATTGTCTGTTGGCCAGAAATCCACAGACCGCGGAGGGTGAGGAGGTTGCAATGAGGATTTTGGCTACGGATCATTTTTAAACGTTGCTTTGGGTCTTGTTGGAGGCTGAAACTATATGTTTCTAGAATGAGTCTGAGGAAGAGGAGATAAAGATTTCTGCAAACTTGGGAGAAAGTGAAGGTTGGCGCGTGAGCATCTCTGAGGGGCACATCAAACAGATCACCCTGGATAATGGCCTCTTCTGACTGTTTGGTTTTAGCCAGGCAGTAGTAAAGTAGCACACAGGAGAAAAGATTTTTCTATTTGCCTAAAAGCTGCTTCAGTGTGGAAGAAGGTCAACAGCTGACCTTTTACAGACAGCCTGGTCAGGAGGAGGGAGTCAAAAGACATTTGGTTAATTATGTTGCCGTAATTTACTATATTGCTACTATATTACTGGAGGAAGAATCTTCCAACAATACATTTCTTTTTGAAACAAAACAGCACTTGAGATGTAGAAGTGACGGTGAAGAGAAAAGGAGCCATTTTGATTTATCTGTTCTTGAAATACCCGTTATAAGAGACCATAATGGGTCATAAATTTACACTTAGAGATAATAAACCTTAGGAAAATGACATTTAGCAATCCATGCTATTAGAAATTTGATCTCACACTGGATTTAGATTGATTCAAATGAAGTTTCTGCTGTGATTTTACATTGAGGTAAATTTACATTGAGGTGGTTCAAAATCCATTTCCGCACATACCTTATGATTTAATTGAAATAAATGTAATAGCAGGTTACTTGTGAAACGATTACTTTTGGGATACTTTGGGCCAAGGCTATGGCACTGAGCTGGGTCTTAGGGGAACTGTATTCAGTTCTTAACCCCAGTGTGGGCGTGATATTGTTGGCCACTCAAACCAGTTCATCTCTCTCGTGAGATGAACTCACACACATTTCTGGTTGCTTATTTACACCATGAGATATTTGAGAAGGATCATTTCCTATCAGAAGCCAGGCTTGATCTCTCCTGGGATTTCTAGATGCTGCTGTAATACTAACGATATTTTCTGTAACGCGACCTGTCTTTTAGTGAGTCCTTAATGTTAGCAAGGAGACAGAATTAAACTAAGTGATTTGGTTTCAGTGGTGACGCAACTTCCCATTCCATGCGCTCATTGAATTCAGATTAATTATAGCACTTGCTGTATCATAATTATGTTTCATAGCGATAGAATGCTCTAGACTTTGTACATTCACAGCACTACTGTAAGCCTCAGGGTGTACTGAGCTTTTACAGCGACATCTCTCAGTCCATTGTCAGGTATTAGTGCTATATTTATATATTTATGGGTTTTATTGCGGAACATCCACAGCAATATCAGAAATGCTTTAAAGGAAGGATGAAATGGAAGAGTTTTTAAATGTGTGTATTTATATTATTTTTTTTTTAAATTTTCATAAAGTATTTTGAAGAAGTTAAGGGTGAGGAATGAAGAACTTCAGCTGTTCAAATGCAAAGGCTTGTTTCCTTAGGTGACTTTTATCTAACGCTCTGGTCACAATTCTCTCTCTGTGCATAGTTCTGGCTCCTTAAGCCTGAGACCATGCCTGGAGACGATAATTCTGGTGGTGTGCTGTGAAAAGCAACAGCTTCCCAGCACCAGTTGTAGACTAGCAGTGACTTGTATGAAGATCCATTCAGTCGCTGTCATGAGAGGCCCCCTTCCCCTTGGCCATCCTGGGGCTCTCAGGCTGTTTGCTTACTAGTCCTTGCCGGTTGTTTGCCTGGGATGTTCTCCAGGTGTTCTGGATCTTCAAGATGTCTCTGCAACTTTGAGTTGCAATCCTTAAGAGATGTTATTTTGTTTTCCTGAGTAAAGGCATTGGTAATCACTGCAGAAGGTGGATACATTTCCCTCTCCCATCCCAGTGCCCTGAACTGCATTGCAGGTCTATTTTGTTTCCAGGACACTGTGGGAGCCTCCTTGCCTGTAGGTTGAAGCTTGCTCTCTGACGTCGCTGTTATTTTCTCTTCCCTTCAGATGGTGTCCACAGTGTCACGGCAGTCTGCACCCTGCGTGTCACCATCATCACAGATGACATGCTCACCAACAGCATCACAGTGCGGCTGGAGAACATGTCCCAGGAGAGGTTCCTTTCTCCCCTCCTGTCCCTGTTTGTGGAGGGGGTGGCAACAGTGCTTTCCACTGCCAAGGACGGCATCTTCGTTTTCAACATCCAAAATGACACAGACGTCAGCTCCAATATCCTGAACGTGACCTTCTCGGCTTTGCTCCCTGGTGGCATTCGAAACAAGTTTTTCCCCTCTGAGGACCTGCAGGAGCAGATCTACCTTAATAGGACCTTGCTGACCATGATTTCCACGCAGAGGGTGCTGCCCTTCGATGACAACATCTGCTTGCGCGAGCCCTGTGAGAACTACATGAAGTGCGTCTCCGTCCTGAAATTCGACAGCTCAGCACCCTTCATCAGCTCCAACACTGTCCTGTTCCGTCCCATCCATCCCATCAACGGGCTGCGGTGCCGATGCCCCCCGGGTTTCACGGGCGACTACTGTGAGACAGAGATTGACCTCTGCTACTCCAACCCTTGTGGGAGTAATGGGCTGTGTCGAAGCCGAGAAGGGGGCTACACTTGTGAATGCTACGAGGACTACACTGGTATGTGTTTATCTTATCTTTGACCCATGATTTATGTTAGACCATCAGCCAGGCCAGCTCTGTCAAGCTGAAATTGCTGACATTCTTAGTCAAAGGGAGAAAAACTCCTGGTGCTGCCTTCTGGTCAGGAGAAGGCTTGTGAGTGTCACACATCACTTAAGGTAAGTCCCATATCTCTGTGCATGCATGGTGGTAGGAACCATGCCTTGCTCCAGGTCATGCAGCAGGCCCAATGGATGAAGTGGTTTGCACTGTGTGAATTTCTGCTCAAAACACTTTATGCGAACTTATTTCTTCTGGAAGGAAAAAAAGGTGGGACACATCTGCTGTTTCATGGTTTTGCATGTTAACACCTTTCTGGCCCCTCAGCCATCTCCTCCTACCAGGGTATAGTGGGGATACGCAGCCTCAGTAGGAGGTCGTCAACCCATGGCCGTCAAAAAGCACGGAGCGTGAGGATAGTTCATGGTCCCAAGAAACCACAATAATACGTGTTTATGGGAAATGCTGCAAGACAGCTCCAGTTTCTAAATGTCCAGATAAACTCCAGAATGACGTAGCTGCTTCCAGGCCTGTCTCCAGCAGCCTGCTGAGGAACGTACTTTGCCTCATCATGGACCTGACAGCTAATAAAGATCAAAGTGCTGCTTCTCAAATACTCCTGAGAAGTTATGAAAGAACATTAGCTGAATGTTTTCTGATGCTTCAGTAAAGTCATTGGGATTATTTATGTATTTGAAATTGCACACACATTTAAGTGTTCTGCACTGACGTGCTGCCGGCTGTAATTCACGCTGACAGCTCAGCAATGTTTGCTGTGACCCCTGCAAACGAGAGGTGAAGCAGAGGGGGCTGTTCCCAACGCTGCCTCTCTCTGCTGAGGTTATAAAAAATTCAAAACATAAATTATTTAAGTCTCCATGTAAAAAAATCTAGATGATGTGTATGCCTACTGGGCTGGATCCAGCCCTCTAGGTGGAAGAGTTTTTTCTTCACTTTCTGTGGCTTTTGGCTCAGGGCTGTAATTAAAAATGTGGTGGTGGAAGGAGCCAGGAGTCAGTGAGCAGGGACATGGCAGTAGCAAGTGAACTGGGCTTTCCCCAGCAAGGGGGACAAGAGATGCTTGCTAAGTTCAGAGCGGGGCTTAGGGCAGCAGGACCTTCCTAAGGAGATGCAGACAAACTTTTTGCCTGGCTGGTGAAACTGTCAATAGAGCTGTGAGGTGGTTGGGATATTTGGTCTTTGTTGAGGAGTGATTTTCTTGCCAGACTTCTCATGAATGACTTCCACAGTGAAATACGTTATAAAGTCCATTATCTGTTACATACAGCTAATGCAAAATATGTACAGCGTTGGGCATTACAAAACAGATTTTATGACCAGGTGATTTAACATGTTTATGTACTATTGTACTGTAAATAGGAATGGTTAGAAGTAGCAGGTTTCATTAAACAAAAGATGTGCATATAAATAGAGTTAATTCATTCATTACATTTTGGAAATGGGTTTTGGAATGACATGCATTCCTACATCACATTTTGAGGGTCTCTTGGTAGAAATCTTCAGGAAAAAAAAGGCTAAATATACTTTTAAAATGAAAGAGAATAATCTTATATTAATAATTGATTAACATATTTAATAATTAATGCTGTAGTCAGAACAACACAGTACATATTTAGAGGAGAGGCACCATATTATTCATACACAAAGAAAGATTTGATCTATAACTGTATTTTCAGTGCATAGTTGTTGAGTTAAAAATTAACTATCCTGCTGCCAGGATATTAAAACGATCAGAAGTTAAGGAGCAATCAGTGCTTATAGCTTTGCCACCTTTATGTTACAGAGTTAACTACACTCCAGTGAAACACTTTATTCTTTGAAAGGACAGTTCGGGTCCTGATTGCGGTAAGATTGGCCAGGGGAAAACACACCCAGCCATGATCAAGAGGGCTCTGGAATCCCTTATCCTGTAAATTGATATAAATATTACTGAATACTTCTGGTTTATTGCTGAATGAATGCCGTAGAAATTTAGTATCTACTCTGTGTTGGCTTACATTACGTTAGTGCCTTTAGGCTCCATGTTGCATGACAATGTTTTTTCCCTCAAACCTGACACACTTAGCCAGATATGGTGGTCATTAGTTGATTGATTTTCATCCCCTTTACAGAAATAGGTAGAAAATGTTATCAACAAGTACTCTATTACCAGAAATATTTTATAAAGATGCGTTATTGAATCTTGTCCCAATCTCCTTTAAGAACTGTTATTTTCCCTATGATTGTTGTCATTTCCTTAAATACATTCCTATCTATTTGCAAGTTTGGTTTATATCTATTAATCATAACACTGTGGTTTCCGCTTGTATATAAATATTTATTGTTTACAATGATCCAGATTTTATATCTGTTTAATATTTAAACAGCATATGTTGGTTTCAATAGCAGCAGTGTGTATTGGCTCACGGAATGCAGCGATTGTAAATCAGAATGAGCAGACAATTGCTAAGACTGAAAGTTGGGAGATTCTGGTAATACTGAAACATTACCACGGTATCAGTGTAGTAAAGTACCAGTATGAGGTACTTCTGAATCTTTGAATTAATTGTAAAAGATGAAATATGAATGGTAATAGTCAATGAAATGCAGCCTGCTCTGGGAGCTCTCATGTTTCCATTTCCCAATTAAGAGCCTATGTAGAAAAATAATTACAAAAAAATACTAAGATCTGTCATCTCTCTGGGGAGATATGCTGCAACTCGATGAGAAATCACTACACAATCATAACCCTGTACTGAATCTATCCGACTGGTCACCTGTTAAAAATACAGCGTTTATTTCCTGTAGAAGATAATTATGTCCTATCTTAATCGGATGGAATTTCCCCGCGTTTTTCCACCCCGCTTTGAAGCCCTCCATTTGTTTTGATGTAATTGTTAGGCATTTATACATGATGAAAGTTTCTCTGTCTTCAGGAGTCTTCTGTTACGGGCACAAGGTAAACTGATCTTCTACAAGATATTTCTGAAACCTGATTACTGGCTAGTTTGGGGTGATTTGGAATTAGCTTCACTTCCTGTGATGTAAGGAGGTGAGTGAAGAAGGACATTTCTTTTTAATCATGTTTTTTTAGAATAGTGACCACTTTAAGTTCTTTTCTTTATATACAAATTAGTGTAGAGAAGTGAACAATGTACACACTAACAGGCATGCCATTGATGGCATGGATCTGTGTGCATGGCTCAAGGGTTAAAGGCAGTAATTTAAGTTAAGCAAACAAATTTAATGAACTTGAACACTGTGGGAAGCCTGTGTAATTTTCCCAGCTTTATTTCATGTATCTTTGAGCGCTGCAGAAGCAGCTGAGATGAACTATAGGTGAAGGCTTGTGCAGAGGTGGAATTGTCTGTACTCCCCAGGGGCAAACCCCTGAAGAGCAAATGCACCATGTCATCCACTCTAGTTTTGGAGGCATGGTTGCCACAGCGGTTCCTGAATGAGCTGTACTTCCATCCCCATCCTGGTGCCTCCTATAGAGCATACCACTGCTGCCATAAGTCACTGCCTCTTTGTGTATGAATTCCCATCATTTCTGCCCTGCCATGAGTGGGTGCCTGCTGCCATCACTGCGTCCTCCCGCAGCTCTCGCCACAATTCGATGCGCGCAGTCCTGGTCAGCAGCCACCATGAACCTTCTTCTCTGCGGTCGTGCTCCCAAAAAGTAAAATTTAATTGGCACAGAACAATAGCACTCCAATGGGGAAAAAAAAATCAAACTTGAAATAAGGAAGAGATCTAATGTTCCCACAGTTCTCCTTAGCATATGGCATTCTCTCTGCCTCCTTTGCTAGGTAACCCCTAGCAAGGAGCAATTTCTAGGGAAAAAGATTATCAGAGAATTTCCCATATCCTCTGCATCTCTCCTTGGATTTCACTTCACAGAGGGGAGAAATCTTAAGTGGTTGTAAATCTTCTAGTAATCAAATACAGCAATTAAAGATCTTTTATGTGTTATACTTTTTTCCTCCTGATTTATTTTTGTGATACCATATTGAGGAATCATGACATCTAATGTGGCTGCTGTGAATTCTGACTCTGTGTCATGAGAAGGTAATTATAGCTCTTTCCACAGCATCATGCCAGAAGTGCCTATTCATATTGTTTAGTAAGTTCTCAGCATTTGGCTCTTGCAAACATATAGCAATAAAAGTAAATGCGAAGATTTGCTTCTGCGTTATCTTTACTTATATCCATTCTTCAGATAGTAATTTCCCAGCTCGGTCTGATACCAGATTCTCATTTTTCAGGCCAGAGAGATTTATTTGGGAGCATTTCAGCTTTCAAGTAGAGAAATCTGGCAGCCATGGTAGCGGTAATGAGTGTTTTATCTTGCGCAAGAGGGTCTGAAATTCCACTCTCGGTTCCACGTCTGCAGCTCCGCTGGAGCAGTGGGATCACAGGTGTGTAACAGCCAAATCCTGTACAGCAAATCTTAATTTGATTCTTTCAAGTTCCTTACTGCATCTTTAACTCCTTGTTTAGCTTATGAAAGGCCATGGTTTTGTGACAGCAAGGCTGAACAAAGATTATCCTCACAGGGTTGTGGGGCTTTGTCAGCACTTTCAAACAGCTGTGACCAAGGCCTTTACTATAAAACACCAAATAAGAAATTCTGCCATTCCCAAACACTCCCATAAATGTAGGGACATTTTCCACAGTATGGGGCAGCTTCCTGAGTCACCTCTTTGATACCTCATTCAAATGTTAAGGTGACACAGTGAAGGTGCTAAAATGTTTTGTATCTTTGCTGCCTTAACGGTGTCCATTAGTCCAAGTCTTCAAAGTTATGCTACTGGATTCCAGGTGCATTTGTATAATAAAGACATGAAAACAACCTAGGCAAGGTCTAATACTGTAAAAATAGTATATTCAGTTTCAAGAGTTTAAATATAATTACAGTTATTAGGATGCTGGATGATTTTCACTATTTTCACAAT